AAACTCACTGTGATCATGTCCTGGATAATTTGCCTTTATATGCCCCGATACGTGACACACCAGCAAAATAAATGCTGGCAGTGAGGGGGAATTGCCTGCACTGTGTTCCAGCTCAACAGCACCTTGTTGGATCGGAGGATTCGTATTCTTTTCTCTGTGTCTTAGCTTAAAGCGAGGTGCATTCAGGACCAACTGATTCTATTACAGAGGGATTTGGGAGGATCTTACAGGCAAGTGGGTGATTATGGATGTGTTCGTGCAATGAGCACGACACTAAGCTTTTCAGCAAAATAGGCAGTTTGTAAGAAATTTGATGTAAATAGTTCTTACGGTGCCTCCGAGTGGCTCTGTAGTATCTAGTCTATAGTTTTTAGATACTGATTCATAGCATATATATTCAAAAAGAAGTTTGCACAGTGCCAATCATTTTCCTCTTCAGAATACAGTGTTTCAACACAAAGCTTTGCAGACAGATGGGTGCAACATGATATGGAGGAAGAGAGTAATTTCTTTGTCATGATATGGAGGAAGAGAGTAATTTCTTTGTGACTAAGAGCATGATGCTACTTTTGCTTATTTCCATTGGAAGATAAGTTTTGAGAAAACAAACAAATAAAAACTTTGACTGAGAAGATGGAGTGCTGGGTTTGGGTACCTCAGAGATTAATTACTTATTGGAGGTGGAGGGAAAATGTAATCAAGATGCGGATAAGCCTGGTGAAACTGTGTGTATTTTAGCTGGGGAAGAGGTTGGGCAGATTTTGATTGTACATACTCAAAATAYCTACTGAAATATACTTCTCTGTCAGGCTTTATTTTGCAAAGGAGAGAGTTTATTGCAGAGCTGTTGACATATGAACCATCATGTGCCATCATGTSCTACCCTTGCCATCACCTGATCATTTTCCCCTGAAGCTATGCATCTGTCTTCCACAGATGATAAAAAATGTAAGAAAATAATGTGTAAAATCATTGCCATAAAATGGGAAGGATTCGTACAAACACGCAAAGTGCCTAGCTTGCACTCATAAGTATAACTGAAATGACTATCARTGCTCCTAGTGACACAACAATAACCACGTATCCCACTTTGCAAGTATAAGTGTTCTGGCCCCAGTCCCGACAGCTTTCTGATCATACTCTCTCTTCTGTACATCATCATTTTTCCACTATCTTCACCTAAGTGACCTGGCATTATCCCAGAGACTTAGAGCTACTAATTTTTGGAGAAAATTTATGCACGGGTTGGAGGTGATTCAGAACTGAGATTGATATGCAGTTACAATGGCTGTACCAGTAACATGTGCTTGTGGGCAAGGGTAGCCATATGTGCTGTCAAGCTGGCTGAGCATTTGCATTTTCCTTCACTGTTTCTATGTGGTTTGGGTGCAGAACAGCCAAAGTGCTTGGAACCAAAGATTTCTACAATTAAAATTTGTTCTGCTTAGGCTCTTGTCCAGCATATTTTAATGAATAAATACAAAAGCAGAGGAATAAAGCTGTGCTTCACATTTCTTAAGATTATTGCTGAAGCGAAATTTTCTGATACTTGTGTGCAGTTTTTACCCAAATGTAAACAGAAGGCGTTTAATCTTGCATGAATTATTGATCGAAAAATACTCTACCAATGTTTTCAGCCTTGTGGGAGTTTTATAAAGGCAGACTGATGCTAAGGATAGCCAATAGCACTGTAGCTTTGTGGTGCTTGGAGACCAAGTGGAAGGGCAGAATTTCTGACAGAGCACCCTGGGTTTCCTGGCGCTTTCAGCAAAACCCAATTAATTGCTGTTCAGTTATTCAGTGGTAAGTTACTGCTCACTTCCTGATGGGTGTTTTCAGGAAGTATTGAGAAGGTGGATGAAGTGTGAATGCATGTCTGCTTCATAATCAATAGAATTAAAATCCCCCAGACACTTATTTCCCGGGAAGTGATTAAAATCCGCTTTGTACACAGTTTATGCTGGCCCTCCCAATCCCTTGCAGCAATATTTCAAGGTAATTATTAGACAGTTTATGAAGTGTTTAAATATAAATGTTCAGCATAAATCTTCATAGAATGTATTTTGATAGTTTTATTGTAGTCAGCTGACAAAGTGAGTGCACCTCTGGATGGGTTCTTCATAGTATTCTCCCTCGAACTTTGGGTGCTGCTTTTTCACCACAGAGAGCTTTCCCTAATGCTAGGAGACATGGGAAGGGTASAGCCTAACCTCTCTCTGCCTTTGCTCTAGCTGGTGCCATACACATGGCAGGAATGATTTTCCACTGTAACTTGTGGAGGAAAGGAGGCAGTCCAGGTGTTGACATCACGTTCTCTACTCAGCATCCACCCACTGTCCGGCTTTACACCCAAGGATGTCCAAGGGCGAGTGTGTGGTTTCAGGTTAAAGTCAAAGCTCACTCCTTGCCATTCCTCTGCCGTTCCTGTTAGATTTTTGGGTTTCTTTTTCCGTGTGAAATTTAGCAATCTGCCTGAAGACTTCTTCCAAGCCAAGTCGGGCCTGGAAGTTTCAAGACGGAGTGGTGTTGCCATGGTGATTCAGAGGCCCTGGGATTTATGGGAAGGGTTGATAAAGTCTATTAAATCAGGAGATAAAGCTGGAAAAATTTGCAAACATGGCAGCTTAAGAGCACCAAAACTTACTGTGTTTTTCTGCAGTTCTGCAACTCACTATTTCCTCTAGGTATTTTSTCTTGCTGAAATCAGATATGTTAACACAGGTGGCAGTACGTCTGGCCTAGAAAAGTGCCTCCTATTAGAAGTGCCATCTCTATCTTTTTTTCTTTGACGGTTTAACCAATAAGTGAACCCAGTTAGGAATAAAGAGTAAATAAAACTCAGGGCTGAAAGTCAGCCTGGGTTCCAGGCTGTGTTGTTTAATCTTGAATTTGAGTGCTTTTAATATATTTGATACATATTTATTTTATGATATATATCTAATCTAACATTTGTGCTTTAGTTTCTTTTTAGCTACAGTGGAAACAAGTATTTTCTCACTTTCTTTTTTCTTTTTTTTTTTTAAGAGCTTAAATTTATAATAGGAGGTAGGGCAAAACAAAATAGGCTATGCCTTCTTGCTATCTTTTTGATAACAGCATATCTTTGATTCCTTGATTTTTCTTTCTTTTGGTGATGTTCTTATTCCTATTTTTCCTTCTAGAACTGCTCTGAAGTRAAAGCAAAGAAATACTGAAACAATCACATACCTCTTTCATGAACTGAGTTAACTCTGCTGAATGCTAGACCAGAGCGCTCTCTTTAAACTTGAGCCTAATTTASAAATATGCTAAGCAAACATTGAGGATTCCCAGACTGATTTTGAAGACATCATGCTGTATAGGCTTTAAAAGATTTTAGAAAATACAGAAACATGATAAATTGACGATGCTACTGATAACAGAAGAAACAAACTGTTTTTACTTAATAGACTATGCCCTTTTTTGCTATTTGGAGTTGACATAGTTGACATAGTTGACACTCAGTTTGTGTAGTTTTCTGTCCTCTAATTTTAATGCAGACATATCTCCTCTTTATACAGGAACCATAAGTGGTGTGCGTCACAGGAACTCTCCAGTGTTTAAGAATATTAGCAGYCTGCCAGTCAAAATCCAATGCTCTTCAAAATCCTCTGGGGAAATAGCTTGAATGTCTATAGTAGCCTATTGCTTTGTGATTTGCTCACTTGCTGGCAAAACAGATATTTGAAGCCAATACACAAAACAGCACATATTTTAAAATCAATAGGTAAAAGATCAATTCTTAAAAATCCATATAAAGCCCTAACRTTACAGAATATATTATTTTGCCAATAAACCTGTCTAACTCAGGAAAAGAATGTGTTCTTTCTCTCAGTTTTGCCTRTAGCTTGTAACACAAATTTCTCACTTAGCAGTTATTGACTACCTTAGTGCACAGATATATATACATGTATCCATGTAAATGCAATACGTAACATCTTTGTTGTTTTGTGAGTCAGTTTTCAGACGAGAAGGCTGGATTTGACTAAGTGTCCCATGTTGAGCATGTTTCCTAGTATTAAAACTATCCAAGTAGCTTATGAACAACTGCTGGGAACTTTTAGCACCTGCTGTTTTTTTTATCTGGAGCTTTCTGGGTTCTGTCTAAATAGCCCTGTCCTGTGCCATGTGCATGGGTGAAAATAACTGAATATGGTCTTTCCTCTCTGCTTCTCTCTCTCAGTGTTTGAATAATAATGCAGAATTTCCCTTGCTTGCCTAAAGAACACCCCACAGTGCAATTTGAACCGCTTTTTCASTTTTTGCTTTCTGTCTAACCAACTTAATATCTGTTAATGTTCAGTTTGACAGGACATAGGTCCACTGTGTGTTACACATAAAATGTCCTAATGTCCTAACATAATAGCCTGTCCATTTCTAAAGTTGTGCACATCTATATTACAGTGTTGGTGGGGTGAATTTTGTCATATTATGTAGTAATCCATATGGAGCTGTATAAAGGCTGGAGTGAAGCTCAGGAGGAATCCTGCCCCCTTACATGGAGCAGGAACACCAAGCCCTAACCCTGGTGGCCACAAACCCTGCCTTTCCCTTCCGTCTCCTGCCTCATTCCATACTCAGCAGCTCTGCGGCCACCACTGTTCGGATAGAAGGGTCAGCATTAGCGTACAACAGCAACAACAGCAACAACGACAACAGCAACAACAACAACAACAGCAACAACAAGAGCGCTAGGATCCAAGTAGACAGTGGAGTTGAAGTAGAACAGAAGTTAATGAATATGCACCTGCAGAGCCTCTAGAGAGGAATTTCCTGGGGTTCATATGAACCATGAATGCTCTTAATTGCCTTCAGTTCTAAGAGGATACCTCACTTCTTCAAACTTGTTTCCTGATGAGTGAGGCCTTTATTTAAGGGGAAGGGAACATTTTTTCTTTTAAGCAGGTTTTGTAAAGTTTTGTTATGTTTTAGGGGGAAAAAAAAGCCTTATGTCTAATGCAGTTGTCTGTCTTGCTTTCTAGTTCAACTTTGTTGGGAAATTGCTTGGACCAAGAGGAAACTCCTTGAAGAGGTTACAGGAAGAGACAGGTGCAAAAATGTCTATCCTGGGGAAAGGCTCCATGAGGGATAAAGCTAAGGTACTGTGTGAATTCTGATTGTAATTAATGCTGATACACTTTTACTTCAACTGATCTGTTTAGATTACATGTGTATTTATCAATGACTCAATGAATAGACTGACTCCAAAGTCCTTCTTGACCTTTTTCATGAAGAGCCTGAATAAAATTTTTCTCTCCACTACAAAAAACTTGCTTCCCATACCATCTTTCACCATCAGAGTTGTAACAATACCAATGTTATTTAAATAATTCCCCTGAAAGAATGGAAAAATTATTTAAATCATACTACAAATGCACTAAAAGTTTTTTTAAAAAATCACTGCCTGCTTATTGCACTAAACATAATTATAAAGTAAAAGGACTTCATATAAATGAGATCCAAAGAACAAGTATTGATTATATTGTGGCATTTTACTTTACAGGCTGTAGAACAGCTGTATTGTGGTCAACACAGAAATAATGACYGCTAATTTCACTGAAATATATTTTATATTGCACTTAGTAATATTGTGCATTACTCAGTTTTCCCTTTTGTCATCTCTGTCATTCATCTCAGTAGCAAAAATAGAGATGGAAATATAGGCTAGTACCAGAATAAAGGAAAAACGATCAGAATTTTATCATTTTTATTATTGGCATTATTTGGTGTATATCATCAGTCACTTGCATTGTGAGAACTCCATTTGCAGTATTTAAAAAAAAAAAAGTAGGGAAATTAGGCATGCAGAGTGTATTTCATTTTTGCAGAGCTTTGCTTATGACGTTGAACATATATACAGTTATTTTATGATAATATATGATGATTACAGTATAGGTTTTATTTTTAGTTATTGACAAGTGAAATACTTCATGACTTCTGCCTTACTTCTGGAAGGATAAAAGATGACTCCCTGGATGGATGAATGAGTGTGCATGCTGCTAAGTAGCAGTGATTTGCATSTGTGTTATGTCTGCCAGCTCCATTCTCAGCCACCCACTCAGGATATTATTGCCAGGAGCAGCAATTGCCCAGACGGGGAATTGTGAAGAGCTTGTCACCAGATAGAGATGTTTAATCATATAAGGAGATGGACCAAGTCCTCTGATTTTGAGATTGGTCACTCGTCATTGGAATTTCATCTGATTGTAAGAACAGTGCAAGTGTGCCCGTTATTACATTCAGTCAGAAATACCTCAGCAGAGTTAAGTAAGAATCTGTTTCTTCTTAGAATATTTAGGCCTTAAAAACAATCTGAAGTTAAGGATGAGCTTCATGGAAATTCATTTATATCAGAATGGTGTAAAAAACAAAGGTGCAATGAAAAGGTGTTAACTATGGCAATGATGAAGTAAGTTACTGTTACTTTAACCCAGTTTAGACACTACCACCTGAAATGAAAACAAAATCACTGGGCAATGGGAGTGAGGATGAGGACTAGCTGATCTGAGTACTATACTTACCAGCCCCAAGAGGAAGACTGGGGATGACCCTGTGTTGGATAAATAGCTACAATTAGTATTTCAGGGAGGATACTCTTGGTTGAAAACCTGGTAAAGGTTAAAGAAAATATATTTGAATATAAACATAAATAATGTTTTAGAATTGATACATTGCAAAGCACAATACAGCTTTCTCTGGTTAAAAGCTTTTTCTTACCATAAAACAAGCTCATAAATCTCATTTATGAAGAATGTTTTAAATCAATTTAAATACAGATTACCAGAGCCTAGAGGCTTGTTCTCATTATTTTGTCCCCTACTAGTAGGGAGTCAGACAACTTTGGGTCCCTCACATGGTAAGTCTCCCTTTTGGAGGAATTTTCAGGAAAATTCTATGTAATTTCTCTTTGTAAACTGGAATATGCCTATGTTATGTCATAGGCCATAATCCTTTCTGGGCAGCCTGCAGACCTGTGTGCTTCCCTCGCCRAGCCCAATGCTTTCGGCTGCTCAGCTGGATCAGAGCGTCAGTGACGCATTTTCAGTGACAGTGACAGGCCTGCTGCAAAAGATTAAACACATATGCAAGTGAACCACTGATTTTAGTCTTTTTGGTGCCCAAATGATACTAGGCAGATTTTTAGCTCTACGCTAGAACGGTCTGGACATGTTACGTACTTCTGGGCATGTGGAAGGGCAGTTTCTGAATCTGGAAAGCAGAATCTACGAAGGGAGATTTATCTGCTTTTCATACCTTCCTTATGCTTGGAAAAGTAATCAATGAGAAATTTCCACATATGATTGAAGAATTTGGGCTATTCCTTTCTAGAGCCTCAGGAGACACTTGTTAAGACTGACTGAGTTTTCTGCGTGTATCGGCAGTGCCTGCAGTGCACGAGCAGGTTAGATTAATTTGAGGAACAACTAACTTAAAATGAAAATTATAAACAACTCCAGTGGTTCACTAAATACCACTGAGATTATATACTTGTCACAGAAAGTTGTAAATGCTCGGATTTTACCGCAACAGTTTTGAAGAACGTTATTGCAGATGAGAGGAAAAGAGCAATGATTTTTCCAGAACAGTTAATATGAGTACTTAAGTCTTTTGGCAGAATCTTAGGCTACTGGCTGAATTAGAAGTTTAGTTTTCTGTAACAAATCCTGAGGGAAGAGATCTGCAGAATTCTGGCAGGGAAAAAAAGGTCTATCATGGAAAGTTAGATTATTGCTGGCCATAAGAGAAGATTGATACTGACTTGTAGATACTTCCTTCTGGTTTGATACTGAAAGCCGTAGTTTCAGTGTTGGCCCTAGCTAAACTTTGAAATATTTGCTAACTAAATACCTCCAGTTATTTTTAAGCTTGGAGAAGGTATTGTTGAACRTGATGAACATGGTCATGATCATTGTCCCTGTTGAAAGAGTCCAGCGTTTTCTTATGATAGGTGGAAATAGCAAGGTTTCCAAACTGAGAACACTCATTATCTTGCTGACTCATAGGATGCCATTAAAGCTCATTATTCCTATAGGAGTATAGTGCTATAAATATGCATTCTTCCAGCAGGTAGTGGTGAGGTTAAGCATAATATTGTTAAGTTTCTTGGCTTTTGATTCTTTGCCATTTCTTTTTTTCTTCTTTTCTAAAAAGAAGCAGCATGAAAGGCATGGAAGACAGTAAKGAAAGTAAACAATCAAACTGAGCTGACAAGAGAAATCTCATTACAAGTGGAATGAATTGATTACCTTCGTACATTGGTGTGGATTTGCTTCCCTTCAGACACACCATGAATGCTTTTCACTGCACCATAAAAATATATATATAAGCAGTTAGCTATAACAGCTCTTTTGCATAAAATATAGCACAAAGCGCATGGCTTCTCTTCAGGAAAAGCAAAAAATATATGTGGAGCTGTTCCTTAGGCACTTCTATTTTTTGAATTAGTTACACAAAAATAAATACTAGAAAGACTCATTTCTCTGCCAGAATTTATGTAGATTTAGGTATTAGGATTATGTATGAGCAGTGTTCTCRTTATGTATTCAGAACATTGTATATGAGAAAATAGGATGGGTCTGCTTTAATGCAGATGGGAGTATAAGAATATTTTCAGAGGAAAATGAGGAGCATTTAGAGGTAGAGATAAATTTAAAATGCTGCTATTATTAGAACTTTCATTAAGGGCTGTATTATATAACTGCAGATTGCAGGAGTTTGGGATGGAGAGTATTCAAGGGAAGAATCAACCACATACTCCAACAATTATAATTTTCCTTAAGAATCTGCTATCAACTGGAGACAAAATACTGATCTCAAGGTATCTTGATCTTACCTTACAAGGTATCAAGATCTTACATTAACAATTTATTGGATTAGACCTGGAGCTGATTTCGGTGTTTTTTAAGTCTTTTGTGTATTAGTGGTGCTTAACAGCCATTAGCAGCAACAGCAGCAATGGCAGCAGTGAGAATTGGTCAAAAGCTTTCATTAGAGTCCAGCCACGTGGTACTTTTTTGCATCATGACCTCACATGCTTTATGTTTTCTTCATAGGTGAACCGTATTGGAGTAGATAAGGTTATTTATGGGGTGTATATCTAGGAATTTGTACTTTGTGTGATACCACTAATTAGTTGGTATGGATAATGTTAGTAAAAGTGAGGGAGTAAAAATCATGATCCCAAATTGATAACTGAAGCAGTGAACAAGGCATAGAGAAAGTAAAACCGTATAGTGAAAAGGAGGAAGACTGGTTTGAAAGAAAGTAAGAATATGGCRGATGCTTTGTGAAAGCAAAACTGTGTCTTGTGCAGTTGTGTTTTTTTGTCTTTCCTGTTACACATTTAACTTCTTTATGTTGGGAACATTCAGAGAAAGAGGTGATGAAAAGTGTTTGATGAGTGCAAGTATTCTTGCTTAAAAAATGTTCAGAATAAAATGCCTTTGCTTTTTTTTTTTTTTTTTTTTTTAAGAACTTCATTAAAGTTGAGCCCAAATGAAGGCTTGAATAAAATTGAGTGAATTACCTAAGAACAATAAAATGTTATTTTTCTGAGACATTGTCAGTTTACTCAACGGAAGATTTTTGCTTGCTTTTCTGTTTGTTTAAAAAAATGAAAGGTGGATTTTGAACTGTTTTTCTTAAAGACTCATTATTCATCATCTGCAGAGCAGTTCTTGCAAGATGAGGAAACTATTTATAGTGAAAAGGCTCATGCTGTCTCTTCAGTCCGAAGTGACGGTTAGCTCTTCTGTGGAAATGGCTGCAAAGTTCTATTTCATTCATTACTTTGAGTTTCCTGGTATGTCCACAGCACCTGTGCACTAAACCTTGGTCACATCTCAGAGTGAGAGAAGAGCGCACCCCACCTGCCCAGTTCAGACTGGCGCCTTCCTTCTTCCTTTCCTCAAAGAGAAGCTGGGACTCAGTAACAGAGGACGAGCCGACTTGGGTGGCTTGAGCAGTGAAACTGACACCAACACTGGTGTCTTCACTTTGAATAGAGGCTGGTAATACACAAKGCAGGACGGTTTTGAAGAGCTGAAATGTTATCAGAAAGTGAGAGCTGTGTCGCCACTTGCCACCATTTAGAAAAGAG